GTCACCTTCCCAGAGGGGTATTAATACAGTATTGGGTTTATTTTAGTAGGATGGAATTCAGCATTCAAAATACCTTTCCAGAAAGTCACCTGCTGTAGTTTACTACTTTCTGATAGCTTACCACCTTCTCTAGATGAGAGGGGCAAAGAGTTAAGTGAAACATATTAGTTTTGGCAGGGACTTTGGCAACATCTTGAGAAGGCATGGCTCAGTAGAAAAGGTAATAATGCTAGGAAAGGAAGGCAGTAGAAAGAGAGGAAGACCACATGCCAGATGGAGGCCAAGGGCTTGAACCTGCAGGAGCTGAGCTGAGCAGAGGGATTGAAGATAGGGGTCTTGGAGATGTCACCATGAATCAAGGTCAACTCAAAGGCAGTTAACAACAACAAGTCACCTTGCATTTAACTTCTGTATCACTGTTATATTCTATATCAAAGTAATAGCTCAAATAGTTAGTAAAAAAAAATACAGCCTAATAATTAAGAATTACTCTCAGGGATTATTACGTCATTATGAGTGAAAGGGCAGATAAATCACTCACAACAATAGCAGGCTGGGGAAGAATCCACAAAGACAGCAGATCGCATTTCCTTAGCAGGTGAAGTTGAAATTTACAGATTGATAACTTGTAAGGCTGTGTGTGTGTGTTGAGTGCCTTCAAGTTGTTTTCCTACTTATGGCGACCCTAAGGCTTTCTTGGCAAGATCTGTCCAGAGAGGGGTTTGCCATTGCCTTCCCCTGAGGCTGAGAGCATGTGACATGTCCAGGGCCACCCAGTGGGTTTCATAGTTGAGCTGGGAATCAAACCTTGGTCTTCAGAGTCATAGTCCCAACACTCGAACCACTACGCCATGCTGGCTCTCCCCTTAATTTTTGGCAGCTGAAGGTAGCTTTCCATCCTTTGCCTCATCCTTTCTTTTTTTAGATAACTTTCCAGCCATATTCACTTTGCATACACACACATTCTCTTTCCCTCCAAATGCATCTGAGGAAGTAGACTGAAGTCTACAAAAGCACATGCTGCCAATTTCTTTCTTTCAGTTAGTCTCAAAGGTGCTACAAGATCTCTCTACATACTCTCTCTCTGTAATCTGTCCTCCCTATTCCTCCAGTTCCCTGGGGACAGAGATGTCTAGGGCTTTATAAATGCTAATCACAGACATATGGGTCATTGCAAACATATTGTTGTTTTGTGTGACAGCTTAAATGGCAAGCCTCATTTGTACTTGCTCCCTGCTTTCTGTAGGAGTGCAGTGAATAATTTAAAGGCATGGCGGTTTTTTAAAAAGGTCTCAGTGGCTAGGTTTTGGAAAACTATTATTTTGTGGTTTTCATATTCTAATTTTGGAACAGCAGAGAGTTGTTTTAGCACTTGCCGTTTTGGGGGAGGAAATATACAAAGAGAAGAATTATACCTCTAGGGAGTTTGACTGATCTTGGGTTAATAATTGTTGATCTGTGGACCCAGTCTATGTTTGAGCTTTCCAGCTCAAGGTCTAGTCAAGTATTATTTAAATATAAGGGTAAAGTTTTAATTATCACCTTTAAATTTTTTTGACAGAAAGTTTGTTTTGATTTGTAGTTGTTGACTTATCTCTACATAGTCACCATCCAGATTTACACATTTTCCCCAGCGTTTCTTGAAGTACCATTATTGTAGAAGTCTACGGACTGCACCTTAAACCACTCTTCCACTTTATGAATGAAGTCATCTGTGTTGTCAAATCAGTGACCCCGCAATGGATTTTTCACTTTTGGGAAAAGAAAAAGTCACTTGGTGATGACAATGATAAAAGTTCATCAATATACCATAATAACCTCTGGGTGATAATTATTATTTTACAATACCCCCTCGTACTTCTCCATCTTACACTTTAGTCACGATCTTTGGGCACAACCTGTCTCAAAAATAAAGGACACAATGAGCTAATTTTCTTGACATTGTTCTTCATCATTGGCGCTTAGGGACCAATGGTAACATTAACAAAATTTCGTCAATATACCACAATAACTTCAGGGTGATAATGATTACTTTATGATACCCCCTCGTAGGTAAATATAAATAGCTTTTACCTTGTTCTACCTGTTCTGGAAACACCACCCCCAGGAATGTTGTGTCCACAACTTTGTTGTAAAGTTGTTATTGGCTTCTTCTAATGTTTAAAGCCTGCCTTCATGTGAAATATGTTCATGAAAAGCAGCATTGATTGAGTCCTCTGTATTAGCCAGGTGGCATGTTAGAACAGAGAGTGTAAAGTCCACGTATTCTAGGGTGAGTGACAAGCAGATTCTTTGTAAACTTTTCTCTACATTTTTCTAGTACTTCTGAAAATGAGGTGTCTCCAGGCAAATTTGGGCCATTTCGCCCTCCTTTGTTGCTTTTGTTTGCTCCACACATCATGCTGGAGTCAAGGAGGCTGTCTTCATCTTCTGTTTTCAGTCTTGGTTCTTTAGAGGAAAAATAAACTCCAATTTCTCCCATAGGTGCTTGGTCTGCTGTCCTTTCAGTTATAGGCACTGAATTCAAGAAATTGCAGTTTCGTTGAAATAGTAATTTAACTCTTAATGGAGAATACCTTTACCCAGGGACCGGCAACCTACAGCCCGGGGGCTGGTTAAGGCCTCGGGCCCCGGACTTACCGGCCCAGGCCGTAGGTTGCCGCCGCTCGCTGCCGTCGGGGCGCGTTTTCGGCCGCGCTTGCTGCGGCCGCCATTTTGGAAGTCAAAATGCCGCCATTCCCCCCCCCCTCGGCCCAGCCGAGACCTGGGCGACAGGAGACCGACCCAGGTCTCAAAAAGGTTGCCTGTCCCTGCCTTTACCTTTTATCTTTGACAAGATTGTCAAGTTGTGTCCGACCATAGGGGGCAGTGCTCATCTCCATTATTAAGCCGTAAAGCCAGCGTTGTCAGAGTCTACTCTGTGATCATGTGGCAAGCATGACTGCACAGAACGTTGTTACCTTCCCACCAAAGTGGTACCTATTTATCTACTTGCATTTGCATGCTTTCAAACTGCTAGGTTGGCAGAAGCTGGGACTAGTGACAGGAGCTCACCCCATCACGCAGCACCCGGGCTTTGAACTGCCAACCTGCCGGATCTTGCAATCAACAGAGTCAGCATCTTAACCACTTGAGCCACTGCATCCCCTAATTTAACTCTTAGGCGTTTAATAATTTAGAAGGCTATGGGCCTAAGCAGACTGGCGGCACGGGGCTGCCCTGGGAAGGTGCGCCACGGGACCGAAGCATCCCCACGCCTCGATCCTGCAGTGCACCTTCACCACCCCTGAAAGGAGTGCTAAAATAGTGCTCCTTTCACAAGTCAGCG